GCATTACTAAGTTATCAAAGTACATTTCGCCTACCGCTTCTTTTTCTTTGTTTCCAACTGAATTAAGATAATTTTGTGACATCCACAACTCAATCAACTCATCCTTGACAATGTTATAATCTTTTGAGAAAATAACACAATACAAAAGACAACGTTTGATTGCCGGAGCTAAATCATAATAACTTAGTAAGAGTGGTTGGAAAACTTGTTTCTCAACCACCTCTAACTCCCATATCTTACTGTTCAAAACGTCTTCCCATTCTTTCATCGTTTTCTTGTAGCGCATGAGACCACCCAATGTCTTTGCAACAAGGGGTAGGCCCTTACACTTTTTGACAATTTCTTGACCAATGACTTCAAATGTTCTATATTCACTTATTTCCCTATCAACCAATGCTATGTGATAGAACAATTTACGACAGTTTTCATCACTCAACTCCTTCAAATTGATCGTATCAGCAGATGCTCTCATCATCATAGCAACATCCTCCTTTCTTGTGGTCACCAATATTCTACTACCCACAGCCCCATTTTGTAAAGCTAGTTTTAATGGTTCCCACTTTCTATAGTCTTCGTTCCACACATCATCTAGGACAAGAAGGAACTTCTTGCCCTCAATGGACTCATGTATAACTTCCAAGAGTGTTTGCAACACATTTGAAGTTGGGGTCTCTCTTTTCAGACTCTCAATGATGTCTTTGGCAATTTTGATCTCATCAAAAGGATCTGAGACGCAAACCCATATTCTATTGTTGAAATGGGCTTGAACTTGTTCATCATTATAGGCAAGTTGGGCAAGAGTTGTCTTGCCAATTCCTCCCATCCCTATAATAGGGATGACAAGGCAGGTCGCTCCTCCTTGACCACTCTCACTCAGCAACTTTTTCACTAATATTTCCTTTTCGTTGACTCGACCAAATGTCTTATCAACGAAAGAAGAACTTTTTTGTCGTTCAGTTTGTTCACTTCCTCTTTTCATGTATTGAAAGTTATAGTTTTGCCTTTCATTAGCAATCAGAGCTAATCTTTCATTTAGTTCTTTTATCTTCACAGCAATGTCACGACGAAGAATTACTTGACTGACTTGGCCAACACAAAACCAAGGGGCAGGAATGCAGAAACATACCTTCTTGGTAGTACTAGTACTACCAGCATTACCAGCTTCTTGTTTCTGAATTTGTTGTTTCAGGATTTCAGTACTCCACTCGTCCAACACGTCGTCCATCTCATAGGATACATCCTTCAAACTGTCCAGCCAGTATTTCACGTTCAGCTCCTTCACTTGCCTCTCCTCTGCATCCTCGAGCACAACTTGAATAGCTTTGAAATTGTGGGAGAGTTTTGCCACTTCTTTCTTAACACCCACAACGAGTGTGACCTCTTGTTCTACCTGTTTTTGGATGATCGAGGCCAACTGTTCTAGGAGCACGGAAATGAGTGCTTCAGCCATTTGTTTGCTCTAGAAATGGATTTCTAGTGGAAGAAAAAGAAAGGGAAAAGGAAGAAATCTTTTAATGCAAATGATAACAAGGTAGTGTTGGGAATTGTTGTAGGCATTCTCATTTCTCCCCAGCTAGTTTTATAATGTTGAGGCTGATGAAGAATGCTTGTAAGTCAATTCAGGCACCACGACGACAACAAACACACACTTGCCAATCAACACGAATAGAATTTATCTCTTCCCTAACTTGTTTGTTTCTTCTCTTTTAATTCCTTACTTTCTCTTTTAGTTTCCTTATTCTTTTCTTGTTTGCTTGGTCGAAGCATCCTCCAAACAACCTCTTATTCAAAAATTAAAAAAAATTGATGGCTTCTTATCTCCTAAGTGAAGCTGAAATCGACAAGTTGGCTTCTTATCTCCCGATAAGCTGAAATCGACAACTTGTTAACATTACAATCCCCTTGGGCTAGTTTTATAAGAACAAGACTGGAGAATGTTGCTTGTAAGCAAAAATCATAAAATTCAACAGTGGCAATTGGTATGGATTTGATACTGCTAATAACCATTTGGGTGAATTTGACCCTGCATACCTTAAAATTCACCCATATGGTTAAGAACTTCTTTGACCCATGTACAGCTCAACTTCCATCAAGTATAAATGTGCTCTCCCGAGGATTTTCCTTTTCAGTATTCCATTTCATGATAGAGGGGCAAAAGGGAGAATTCAAGTTGTAAGAGCAAACCCAATGATTGGGACTCTAAGAGCAGTTCACCCATCCCGTTTTTGCCAAAAGGGGGCCTAGGCTCTAAAAACAACCCCCATCAAGGAAAAATTGTCATGGCAAGATGTGGGCCCGATGAAACTATGCAAGTCCAAAGACAGGACTTGCCTGGGCAAGCTGACGTCAGTGTGACATCAACGGCCAATTTAAATACAAAAATAATTTGAAAAAAAAAAAACCAAAAAATTCAGAATTTTTTTTTCTATAAATGCCTAGCCATGTTCTTCACTTCTCACATCAAAATCCATACAAATTCCTCTCCTCATACCTCATGTGAATAGTAGTTGTCTTTGGGTTACCATGACAATGGATGATAATGCATCAGAAAAATTGATATGGCAAACACTATTCATGTGAATAGTAACTGCCTTTACCTCCCCATGCCGTTTGTTAATGAAGACTGCAGCTACCTAGTGTGAAGCTGGAAAGCAAAATCATAATGAAAACAAAATCGATGATATTAGAAAAATTAGTGATTAAGTTATAATAACAAATGATGTGAAGTCAACATCAGTACTTTTCTGAGAAAGAACCCAATGGTAACGCATGCATGTACGTTTACAAAAGCCTCACCAACTAATTGTAATACTCAGACAACAAATAACCATGATCACAAGAAATTCAATAAACCGCTCTGAAAATGAGATATACATGAACTAAAAAAATGAAATATTCATTCGCCCCTCTATCCTGCTTCAATGATATAAATCAGTAAATGCATGCATCAGGTGATTCTGTATCATCTCACAAATGTTAAATTACAAGTAGAACAAATAAAACATCTGCTACTGCACATTCAATGTCTTCACATGCTGGCAAGTTTGGGAAGGCGTTGGAAATTCTTGACGGCACGGCTCATCCAGTACCCTTTCTGGAAGAAAGAAGAAAATCTAGAGCCAAATTTTGGTAAACACACCAGACTAGAGGTTGTCTCTCAGCCATTTTAGAGCACTGTTTGCAACGGACCTGCATATTCCAAAGACTTTTTTGGTCAATTGCTTTGCATATGATGAGTACATTAATTAATGAAGAAAAGATAAAAGTAACTAGATACACATCTGAAGAACAGAATACTCTGCACATGAAAACAGACTCCATATATAATCTCGAGAGCTTAGAGTATGTGATAGGGAAGGGAAGCGACCCTAAAAACAAAGTTTCACTAAAGTTTATAAGAAAATGAGTTCGGGACTATCTATTCGGCTGTTGAAATGTCTAAACCACAACGCATAGTGATTAGAGCTAAGGTAGTGTGTGGTTGCTCTAACCAAAAAGTTGATACAAAATTAATGGGTGCATGGCCAATAATCTGGTGAGAGATCACAGGCTTCTGTGGTCCTTATTATTGCCCAGGCATCAACTGAGGACCTACATCACCAACCCCACTATCTGCCTGCCACACGTCCATTAGATATTGCAAATTAAGCTCAGCGTTACCAGCCACTCCCTTTCTTTTAAGCAAAAAGTTGAACAAAAATTAAACAAAAAACAACAAGGAAGTGTTTTTATTTTTTTTTATGTTTTTTTAATTAACAAGCAAAATTTCATTAATAAAAGGGTAAATAGAGAAGATGTAAAAGAAGAACACACCTTAAAAGAAGGTTCTTGCATACAATAAATCGGGAAAAATAAATTCAGTAACATAGTGAGTAATAAATATTACGAAATCAAGCCCAACTCACTCGGAGTTGACAGATAAAGAATCAAGATGATTCTATTACGCACCAATGCTACAAATTGGAAGTGGTGTTCGTTGAACAAAATTATTCTCCAATACACTAGAGTTGGGTTGGTTTGGTCAACTTAGTTGGGCAGCTTAGGCTACTTGTAAAATCATCTCCATGGGGCCCCCTACGCCTCTGATTCAGTGGTCGAAAGAGCTCCCATGGGTTGCTTGTTGGCAGTCCTTCAAACTTGGAATTTTTCCTTTCTTTATTGATTGATTCACTTTCAAACTTGAGTTCGAACAAGTAATGTGGATGTGGTCCATTCTGAGTTTTGGATTCACACGGTTCATATTTTAACCTCAAGCCTATGAATGGGACTGATCGACAGTACAATTATTAGTTATTGTCATACTCAAAACAAGCACTTCTGGTGATCGTTAGGTTTAAATTCTTGACTGGAGGGGACACCAAAGCTTCCCCTTCTTCACAGGGAACGCGTGCAGTTGTTTATGTTTCATGTCATTAAAATTTTTAACACTAACTTGATCATATTGACGAGAAGTTGAATGACACTTGAGTTATAAATTCTTTACGATGAGTGCAGAGAAACAAATATCTAGCTAACATAAATGTTTTTAACGAGCAAAAATTGAGGGATTTGAACACTCGGGACCTCATCAAAAAGAAGGGTGAGGGTGTCTAAGATAACATCAATATACAACCATTTTATTTTCTAAATAATAATTTTCATTTTTATCAATTGTTTAGAAAAGGATTAGTTCTTAAATGAGTGTATGTAACCTGTTCTCTTATGAAGAATCCCAAAATTCAAAGCAAATAAGAAGAATAAATAAATAAAAGCCAATAATTTGTTGTAATAAACCAGAAACAAGAATTATACTCAAAAGATTTCTAAATTTGATTGGTAGAAAATAGAGAAGAAAAACAAAAAACCCTTGCCCAAATTTACTTATTTAATTGGACAAAAAAGTATTTACAACCACATTGGGTAGAAAGAAAGAAAACAAAAAAAAAAAAAAAAAAAAAAACAGAATTTACAACCACCTTCTGTCAACCAAGATCCCAAGAAACACCAGAAATTTCCAGAGGTCAATGAGAACACTGCATCCTTTGCACACGGTTCTTGAGAATTCCATTGTACAAAGCAATCCGATTCTCAGGAATTTCGTTTCTGCAACTTCTTCTCTCAACTTTGCTCTGCTTTCTCATCACCATTTCCTCTCCACCGCCAATTGGCGGCGCCTCAACATTTTCAGCAAAATGCACTTTCTTTTTCTTCCTCTCCCTCTTCTTATCACCTAAAGAAAAAAAAACCAAGAATCATAAAATCTTTGCCACAATTCTTCAAGAAAGGAAAAAAACCCCAGAAAAAGAAAGAATTAATAAGAGAAACAGAAACCCAAGTACCTGAACACAAGCAAGAACGCAGAGCAGTTTTCTTTGGATTTTTCTGGGAATTGTGGCTATCAGAAAGTTGGGTTGGTGGGAAAGTCTTCTGCCTAGAGAAAGCAAGGAAGACGAGAGTGCTTGAGACGGCCATGGCTGTGGCCAAGACCAGACCTTGAGAGCTCAGCATAGAAGACATGGTGGAACAACAAACACAGAAGAATTAGACAAGGAAAGGGAAGGAAGAGAGGGTTTCGGGCCACCGATCGAAGAGGATTTTTTATGTTTGCGTTGTGCGTACAAGTTACAGACGGACATGAACAGGCGGTCGCGGTTGGCATATATATGGACTCTGCTTTGTTGGATAAAAATGAAAAAGGAGGGGAATTTATGATAAAATAAATAACTGGAAATTGTTGACGTGGAAACAATAAATTAATTTTGGTAGTTAGGTTGTGGGGGTTATTTCACAGGCTTGAGCACTTTCTATGACTCATTTTGTTTAACGAGTTCGAATTTCCGAGCGGTTTTAAATTAAATTAAAGTAAAATATCATTTGTATAAAAATAAAGAAGGAAATTTGCGTTGTTATCCAACCGCTACAATCACCAAAATCTCCAATAATGGTGTTTTAGGTTTGAATGTTTAACCGCAACAACAACTCAGTTACTTAATACTTGTAATTTTCAGGTGAAGATCTTAGTTTTTTCTTTTTTTGAAGACTTTATATTATATTCCCTAAAATAAAATTTGTGAAAGTTTTTTTTTTTTAGTTAACAATAAAATAAACGTGAGCATCTGGAATTCTCTATTGCTTTCTGTATTTTCGAGGAAGGCAAAGGTAGAAGTGTTGGTTTTGGCTTTTAGTTTGGGTTGAGTGGTTTGGTTAACTGCGTTTTTCTAGACAAAATTAGAGAGAGGCCAAATGGGTCTTAGGGATGTAGTAAGCGGTCAACTTTTGTTGGACTTGTAGTGTGGACAAGGTGTTTGAAGGAGTACAAATATTGTTTGAAAAGCCAATTAAAAAATGTCATGTGGGGTTGGTTGATTGCTCTTCAAGCTTAAGATTCCTCTATGGCTACCATTACCCCTTTCCCAAAGGATAGTCCATAACTAAGTAAACACAATGCCACTCACGCGATAAGTTGTCACTTAAGTAGTTAAGAGTAATTACTTATGTATTCAAAGTTCTATTTTCAACATCCTTAGTCATTGAGTTTAGTGATAATAAATGACAACGGGCTATGGAATTGAAATTTTAAATTACCACTCTCATACAAGCAATTTAACGACGAACTCATCGAGTAAATATGATTTCGATATGTATATAAGCTTCAACATTATAATAATGGGGCGAACTCCATTGTGGGCCTCCAAATAGTTAATTACGATTATGAATCCAATTTTACCATGTAATCCTGCCTACAATCAGTCTCCACTTTAGAAAATATCCTGAATTTAAATCTCACGAGCAAAATTAGATAAAAAAATGTCTCACGTTGACATCATTCTAGTGGCAGCTTCTTTCTCCTACCAAATTTTGTAGTTTGAAGGTTGAATTTGATTGGCCACCACGTGTGAACACAGAGATTTGGAAGTCAATGATTTGGCCATGGTGACACGTGTCCTGCAATGGAAGCACCACCGCAACAGTACGATTTTCATGGTCCAACTGAAACTCCGCGTGCTTTTGTTGCATGTACGATTCGTCGAGAGAACCTGGAAGAAGCCGTGTATTTGCAGTCCAATCTGATTATGACCTCAATTTTCTTCTAGAACTTCTTTTTTCTTTCCCAAATTTTTTCTATAATCAAAAGAAATATTTACAAACGAGGTTACTGATAGATTCTTTTACAACAAAAAGTCCGGAAGTTATAAAAAAATAAAAATAATAAAATTTGGTGTGAGTTCGGAACATTATAATTAATTGATTACGGGCTCGTTTAAGAGTGATTCTAAATATAACAAAATCATTTTTGAAAAAAAAATCACTCTCCAGTGTCCGTTTAGCATTAATTATTTAGACTAAAAAGTGATTTTTGATTAAGTTTTTGAAGTACACACGGTTTGATAAAAGACGAGATAATTGCTTTTGGGATAAAATAGATGTCAGCGTCCTTGATTTTGGAAAGCAGCTCAAGGGTTGATTTTATTTCAGCTTTCGCCGAAAGCTAAACAAGGGCCAATGGTGTTTAATGAATTTTAATGAAGTGCCTATAATGTCCTTGTTAACTTTTCTAATTTACATCATATATCCCTCATCTTCTTCTAGCCCAGCACATTTCAACTATCCCTCATCTTCTTCTCACAGAGGCCGTCGCATTCTTCTAACAACCTTTCAAAGGTGAAAACCCTCTCAAACCTCCTGGGAATATTTTGATAAGGTAACAAATTGACAAAGCATTATTGCACACAACAAATTGAAAGCTTTGAATAATTTGATAGAGCAATGGAGGGTTTTTTGTCCCTAACTTCAAACAGTCAAAGAGAGGCATAAATCTCTCCATCTGCCACGAAGTCAAAGCGCAAGGTAGAGAGTGGATTATTTTTGGATGTTGTAGTCGGCGAGGGTGTGACCATCATGGAGCTGCTTGCTAGCAAAGATCGGCCTCTGCTGTTCTAACAGAATACTATTGGATCTTGACTTAGACATTGTTGACTGTGTGGGAGCTTTCAAGGTGTTGATTGTCAAGATCATAGTGGATCTGGGAGGGTGGGTCGGGCTGGAGAGAAACTCAGACATCACTTTTTGATATTTCCAGCCAATAACGCAATGATACGTAGGATAATTTTTTCACGTATCATTGTTTTATTGGCCAGAAATAGCAAAACATTGCTATTCATGTAAGTTTTTTTGATCGGACTGGCAGGGAGAGGGGTGCAGAGAGGGTGGGTTAATTTTGTTTTACTTTTTTAAATTTTTTTTAGGGTGTCTCTCAACAAAAATATTTAATAAAAGATTTGCACACTTGAAAGTGACAATGTATTGGAAAAAAAAAGTGAGAATTTTTTTTACACTTGAATAAAAAAATTTATTTCAACATCATACTTTTTTTAATTATTATACACAGCTTACAACTGTTTTACACAAACATTTATTAAACACTCTTAAATTGATTTTTTTATCAAAATCACTTTTAATATAAAGTTTACTAAATGTCAAACTACTTTTATTGACAGCTGATTTCTCTTACGTCAAATCCGAAAGTAATTATTTTCAAAGCACAATAATCCCAAAATGACACTAATGATTCTAGGTAGAAGTGATTCTCCATAAAGCACTTAAAACCACTTAAGCTAATTATTTAGAGAAGTGATTCTTCATAGAAGTGATTTTTGGCTTATCTAAAATCACTCACAAATGAGCTCTACAAATTGTTGTTATGGTGAATAGAAATTCTATTTTGTTTTCTAATAAAATTTCCGATTAATTTTCTCATAGAAATTACTAGTCCCCTTAAATTGGAGTTTGACGCTTGTCGTCTGTGTAAATATTTTTTAATTAGAAACTAGCCTCTCTACACACTCTTCCTCACTTGCAAAATTTTTTAATTTTATTTTAGAATTAAATTGGGTAATTGTGTTATATGATTAATTATCTGATTTTTCTTTTAATTTAATTTTTTAATATGAAAAAATATAAATTTACCGTATTATCCTTATTTAATTAATAATTTCAATTCTTAATGTTTGCCCTAACTCCTGACATTTTCTGTTATATTATGCGACAGTACATGTCTCACAATAAAGTGGAACCCCTCGAATCAGTATATTTGTTTTGGCTTTTGACCAAAAAAAAGAAGTTGAAATGTTCCATTTGCAGGAATTAGAACAAAGATTTCTTACGGACATAGCAACAAAGGAATTGTTAAAAAAATGAAACTAACGCTGAGCATGAGCACATTATAAACTGTGTAGGGCCAGATAAGAAAAGAAAAAAACCAAATAAGATACACACAAGAAAACATTGCTCATAAGTCACACAACAGTATTACCACATATCACTATAAAACCTGCTATGAACATCCTGCCATTAAAAACATCTATGCAGGTTGTGACACAGATACACTTATTAATCTACTATCACAAATAGTAGTGTTAAAACAAAAACAACATAAGTTTTTACTTTGACAAAACCAAGTGAAAAAAAGACACTCTTAAGTAGTAAGGATCGGAGGAAGGTAGTCAGACTTGGCACCTAGGACACGAGCCTTGGTGTCGGGGAAGAATTCACATCCTGGCAACTCGGTGACGGTTCCTTCGCTGGAAATGCCAATTGGATATCGGAGCAAGTGACCAGGCAAGTCATGATTAAGAGATTCACTTGAATACAGATCCCAGTATTTGTCAGCAATCTGGTTCACCTTGGTAACACATTCAACGCTTTCTGGCTGGAGGAACTTCTCGTCGAGCATGCCAAGGTGCTCGTACCATAGTGCCATGCGGAAACCATGGATCTGACCACGTGCTGGCTCCCTGACCGACAGATGATATGGTTGGTAGGCTCCCATGGCAATTTCAGAGTCCCTGGCACCATCCATTGATCTCTGGTTGATGTTGGCAGATCCAATAATGATGTACTCATCGTCAACTGCAAAAACAAAAGGGTGAGTCAATTATGTGATTTGTAATATTCAAGATAGGCAGAGTAAAATCAGCGTTGTTCTATGAAATACAACACTACGGTAGAAAGTTTCACAGATTTCTTTATAACAGACTATCTAATATTGTTATTGTACTGTATAATGATAAACGCCAGAAAATTGAAGAAGCTTCCTGGTGTTTGAATTAGGATCAAGAAGCAGGTAATGATAGCTACATTACCGACACTCAGAACAAGAAAACAAAAATTGCACATCACTTCCTACTATAAATCGTCCCCATAACCACCACAAACCAAGATAAATGTCAGATAAATTCTGAAGTTTGAACCAAGCACAAAAGTGAGTTCAGTAGAGAGTTGGGCTTAGTTCATGTGAATGGAGATGTTGGATCAGGAGCAACGTTAATGCTATAATAAATCCAAAGGAAAGATGTGTCAAAAGTGAGTTACATAAAGTTTATAATGGTGCGACTTACCTATCATCATCTTGGTATGAACATAAATCATGAAACGCCGGGCTTCCTGAGCTCTAATATAATCTGAATCTGGTTCTGGTCTCTCTGAGGGTTCATATTCTCCAGGCTTCTTCACCTCCC